AAGTATTTTCTAAATTCGATAGAATAAACAAAATATACTATACTATAACAAAATCGATTTCATACAATCCAATTTTGGTTTAGTTCAAATCGATATTTGTGTCTTACAATAGCATTTTCTTTTGCGACTATTCAATCGATGAACGATTTGGATCAATCATAGAATTTCTATTTCTTAGAAATTTTTTTTCTCAGTGTATATAATCAAGAACCATTGGGTTCTTAAATTATGCGCCTTTAGGTTTTAAGCGAAGAAAATTCAAGAGATGAAATTCTGAAATAATTGAATATTAATTCAACATTAATTTAATCTAATTGTCAGCCTACATACTTTTAAATTAAGAATGATTGATAAATATGAATCGATCGATTTTCTAGCAGGAAAATCATTAATTAAAAAATGAAAATACTTTCTTCATTGAAAAGCCCCAATGTTCCTAGTTTAAGGCCCGGGTGTACTATCTTTCGAACGCTATCTCGATGGTTTTTTTCATCTTTCGTCATCTGAAATTGTCAATTAAATCCTGCATCATGTAGAAGTTTTGAAAAATTATGAATAAATAATCAAAAAAAAGTAGAAAAAATTCTTAATTTTTTCAAAGAGCATTTTTAATTCATATTCAGAATAAGTTGAATAACAAGAAATTGAAAAATGTATCTGATTTATGGTGACAAATGGCGGCCTGTCACCTAATATCATGCAGGGGGAAGACTGATTTCGTAAATCTTTTCCCACACCGCACAGATACATTCATTACGGAAAAGGCTCTTTGAAAAAAGTTGTAATATTTTGGAGAATTTTTTAATCACACTTTTATCGCATCAAAATGGCAGACGACTATATACCACTGTTTTGAAAATTGAGATACCTAGCTGTCACTTCCCATGAGGAGTTAGTGTTTTGTTATCCACCATGGAAAATGACAGCTAATAGATAATTTGCCACAGTGAAGCAGATATTTGTAATTTCCACTTTTTTCAACTCATTCTGAATCTCAATTAAAAACGCTCTTTGAAAAAGTTCAGAATTTTTTCAATTTTTTTAATCATTCTATCATAATTTTTGGGGATTTCTACATGATGTACCACACAATTGACAATTTTGGATTACGAAAGATAAAAAAATCCAGATAACATTTGAAAGATAGTACACCCGGGCCTTAAGATCCAAAAGATCTGCATTCTAGGACCAAAATTTCAAATCAGAACTTTGACCTATAAAGGCAATTTTGAAATAGAATTATAAACAAAATAAGCGATATTACTGGAAGTGCTTGAATCTTCTTGGTAAGGACATTTCTATATTTCAATGATAGTTAACTCATCACTTTTACTGTAATCGCGCACATGAGTATTGAACATGGCCTCAATTCGATTATGAAATTCATTCATAAAATGGTGTAACCTCACAAGTAATGTGTTTTCTTCAAGTTTTCTTTCAAGTTTCCTTCATTTCATTGATTCCATATCATTGATATATTGTCAAGAGACTTTTGTGTCAGAGTACTTATTGTAATCACCCCGAAAATGAATCATTAGTTTTTTTTACCATTTCTCAATGTTTTAAAGTGTTTAAATCTTTTTTCAACTTATCTGAACAAAGTGTGTGTGTGTGTGTGGGTGTGACGATTTCTTCCGAATGAATCGTGCGATCAAAATGATCGTGACGCAATCAGAAGGTCTTCATGTAATTTAGACTTGATGACATTTTGAAGTGAATCGCTCCAGTGGTTTTTGCAAAATTTCCTGGAGAAAAATTTGAAAATTGCTTAAACAAGGATTTTTCATAAATAAATTATGAGATTCAGCTTATCGATATCAGAATGTCACTGGAGTGAATCGCTCCGGTGGTTTTTCCAAAATTTCCTGGAGAAAAATTTGAAAATTGCTGAGAGAAGGATTTTTCATGAATAAATTATGTAGTTGGGATTGACGATATCAGAATATCACTGGAATAAATCGTTCCAGTCGTTTTCCCGTGGCTTTCCCACTGGTTCTTACACTGATTGAATTATTGGATAATTTTGGAGATTTATTGACGACTCACTGAAAAATTGAATAATATGCAGCGATTATCACGTATGAAAAAATGCTATAGGATTTCCTATAGGATATCCCATAGGATTCCCTATAGGATTTCTTATGGGAAATCCTATGGAGAATTCGAACATTTCCTATAGGATTTTTCTGATAGGATTTCCTATCGGATTTCCCACAGGATTTCCTATAGGATTTCCTATAGGATTCCCTATAGAGTTTCCTATTAGATTTATGACCCTAATCCTGACCCTTGTGATCGATTGGTTTCGCGTCTCAATTTGATGTGTTACTTTCTATAGAAAACCCTATAGTGAATGCTATAGAAAATCCTATAGGAAATCCCACCATAAAATTCCTATAGGAAATGTTCGAATCCTCCATAAGATTTCCTATAGGAAATCCTATAGGATTTTTTCATACGGTAATCCATGGAGGAAATAATAAAAAAATTCCTCCCCTCAAATACCTAAGCAAAATTTATTTCGTCTTGATCACGAATTGATTCAAGCATCGAAAGTTGTGTTGGCATAATTGACAATTGATCGGAATATTGAATAATTATGGGTTCTAATTGATGATTGGGCAAATAATTGAAAATCTCTTCATAAAAATTACCCGTTAACTAAATAATTGGTATTTTCGGAATCCTAATTAATCACCATCGGGGGTTAATCATAAAGTTTGAGATTCAGTTGATTCCTCTTTAAATAATTGAGGAAAAATCAAATAGCGTTAATACATTAATTAGTTAATTTTTAAATTCTGATTAACAATTGACTGATTAATGGATAATCGTTGATGGGTGATCATTCATTTATAAAAAAATGGATCAGGATTGATTCCAATTGTCGATTAGTAAAATACTAGATAATTCTTGGTCCAGATTATTCATTGCTTAATTAATTGAGAAATCCACGTAGGAAAGAATCGTATAGAATCTTTCTATATGGACTGTGTATAGCATTTCTATAGGTTTTTCGTATATGATATTCGGATATTTCTATACGAAAATTTTCTATACGGTTCACTTCTATACGAATTTCTACACGAATTCGTATAGAAATGATCCGTATAGGGAATTTTTGTATAGAAATATCCGAATATCATATACGAAAAACCTATAGAAATTCTATACGCAGATCGTATAGAAACTTTCTATACGATTTTTTCATACGTGTCATCCCCTCGAATTACAGATTATCTGAGTAATCAAATAATATCAATTATAATTTACAATTATGCCGATCCCTGTTTGTATCGACGGGAGAATATTTTCACATTTTATGAAAAATCACTTCACTCCTATAGAAATCGACAATAGACAATTAATGCAAAGTAAAACTTGACTTATGACCATTTATGACTTCACTGGATTTCAGCGGTTCCTTTTACTTACTTGGATTGAAAAATTTACTGGGCTATTTTCCCTGCTTAACTATGCATTTGTTCGCATATTCATCATTTTTGTCTGCAGAAATCACGAGTTTTACAAAATTCGATCAACATCCACGTGATCCCACGATGACGTCGATGTTCCGTCGTGGTACAATTTTCGCAACATTCTTCCTGTCACTACTGGGTGGTGGTCTCGTGTGTGCAGCATTAGTGACGCAGCACTGGATTGACGCGAGACCCTGGAGAACACCAAATCCCCAAGAGAGTGCTGGCCGAGTACACTTCGGTCTCTTGATGGGAAAGAAAGAACTGAATGTCGCATACGGATGGCGAACTTATCATATATCCGGTAATTCCAAGCATTCTTCATATATTTTCTTAATTTCAGGTATCAACTATATTCGTCCGGATTTCATTTAAAAAATCTTCCTGCACTTAATAGATGTTTCCATCCTGAGAGTCGCTAGATTTGCGAACACTTACCGAATTTACATGTCGACAGCTTAAGGGGTTTCCTGTGTTGATCAGGGGTAGGGGTGTGAAACGGAAACGGAGTCTTATTGTATATATCGCGCCCTGATTCAATCGCTTAGCACGAAATTTTCCAATTTTCAAATAACTATTGAAGTGTGCATTTGAACATTTTTTAAATATTGATTTGATTTATCAGATTGATTGATTTTTTTTTCATCACCTACAGGTCTCAAATAATTTTTATTGGATGTTTTTCTAATTATTGAAATAATATTAAAATGCATCGCGAGTTGGTAAACCTGTCGAGTGTTTTCTCTCTCAGTTCCATGGTCCAACCCATAACTTTCGTATGATGCTTACTGACATTCGAATCACGCGCTTGCGCGTGAAGGCGCAATTGCCCCGGAACTCATAACTTTCGGAATCATTTGATCAAATAACTTTCTTATGAAATCTGAAAAAATCAGAAACTTATACCTGTTCTCAGGAAGATTTGATTTATCACCCACTAGTTTCTCCTTAATAGTTCATAATTTTTTTGGGTGCCGTGGAAATTTCTCTAATTGGAGGGAATTTCCCTATAGCTAGAGGGGTTACAAAAACATCCAAATTTCATTATTTTTTTGTTGAGACTGAAATTGGAAAAAATATGCAAGAATTCTCAATAATGGAGCAGCATACTCAGAAATTTCGCTCATGAATTTTCCAATTTTTTTTTCATTATTTTGACTTTTTACATGAAACACCTTAATAACAGACAAGCGTAAGTGTTTTAAGGGGTAACCTAATGTCGCTAATTTGCCAAAATTTTGAACAAATTTCCTGCTGAAAGTTATCAATATTTTTACAAATTCAAGCGCATTAATCTCTAGGAAGCGATGATGAAAATCAATGTGCTTTGGGTGCACAAAATATTAATAATTTTGAGCAGGAAATTTGTTTGATTATTTTTCTCACTCGGATTTCAGCCAATCAGAGCGCAGTATTTGAGGCCGTTTTATTTCGGAAATTTCTAAAAAATTTCCGACGGAAACTCACTAGTAGCTTTTCAAATGTTTCTCATCTTTCAACGCATTTCACGTTTAATATTCTGTGTGACAGATAAACAAAAAAGTGGGTTGTAAATGTATGGCTGTGTAAATGTATCCGGATGCTGTTCACTGCACTCTGCTTGACTGAAATCCGAGTGGAAAAATAATCCGTCAAATACCACTCGTGCTTTAAAATTAATCAGATATTTTCCTCAAGCTTCCCTGCCTAGGAATGAGTATCAAATTTTGCAGAAAAATCTTGAAACCTGCAAAATTTGACACAATCGTTCCTAGGCAACGAAGCTATCGGAAAATATCGGATAATTTTGAAGCACTAGTGGTATTACTAAGGTAAATAATCCTACGCTCGTGTAGCTAAGGTGAACACATCATTAGTCCAATATTTCTATTGAAATGTTTGTAAAGATGCGATATTTTAAGTTAGATATCAGAAAGTAAAAACTTCGGAATTAGAATTCACTTATATCAACCATGGTAACTACTATTTTTTAATAAATAATCGTCCATAAACGTGGAAAGTCTCATGTCCCTACGCTCGCTCATTTGTCCCTATACACGTTAGACACATGTCCTTATCCTCGTCTCGTGATTCGTATGATATGGAAAGGTTATATCCGAACTAATTAAGGTCGTGAGTATCCTACTTGGTATAAAACAACAGTAAAAAATATCTCGAGGCACAAAATTATATTTCAATTGATCAGTCCCTTTTAAATGATTTTTTCATTCGTTGAGTCCGTTACCAGTTGACAGTTAGTTGACAGTTGGATCAATGCCGTTTACATTGTTCCTATTCTTTTAATTGCCGAAATTTCTGTAAAATATTGAGATGTTACTATAATTTATGCATTTTTATTGTTTTTTTGACCATCCGAAACCTCAGTCAAGGGATTTTTAACTGGACAGGACTTTTTGGTGCCGAACTTTTTAGCACCACACACCCAAATGATGTTAAAAGACACCCACATTTAATATTTTCTCGGGGCGCCAAAAAGTCACGTACCGATTTTTAATCCTATTTTACTATTATAACGGAGGTATCAACATTTTAAAATTGTGAGGTTCTTAATTTGCGGCTTAAGAATTCACTCTGTCACCGACGTCGGTGGCCGAGTGGATTAGACGCAAGTCTAGTGTGCGAAAGGTTGTGAGTTCGATTCCCCGTGGAACCGAATTTTTCAACGGAAGGCTCCGGCGAGCGGGACGTTGCTAATAGAGGAACCGCCTGTACCGGCATGGGTTTTCTGTGGTTTCCCCATGCTACTTCTATGTTCTATAGGAGTGCGAATCGGTACAGTGTAGAATCCACAGCCGCATGCATAGGGTTGGATAGAGTGCCGAATAGGACCCAAAAAGGGACTCCGAGGCCGTGAAAAAGAAAAAAAGAATTTCCTCTGTCGTAGCACCAGTTGATGCGAAAGGGATTTTTCTCTCTTATTCTTCAATAAATTATAGTTCATTGGTGTCTATAACTTTTCTTATTAACTAAAATAATAATTCCTATCGTATTTCACTCTTGAGAGATTCTTGGGACTGTCAAAATGATTAAAATGCGATTAGATAGCTCACAACATCTGAACGAACATAGAGACAGGGGCGACCATGGGTACATTTACCTTACTGAAAATTTCGAGGAAACGTTGGCCTTCTGTTACCCCTTAAGTTCCCCATATAAATCCGCTTATCTGTTATAAGGTGTCATATAAATCATCATTTTTGAGGGCTCCAATGTACATCACCTTAAATGTCAATATTTATTAGAATTTTATATTTTCTCTTGATTTCCAGATTGAAAAGGTCTATTAAAGTGACATAGAAATAACTTTTTCTTATTGACGGCTTTTTATCATTCAATCGGTGATTTACACGAGTTGACTCTCTCGTACGGGTCATTTTAACATTATAGTAATAGTTTATTTATTCATTTTGTCAACTCAGTAAACATCTCCGGCCACTCGCCATACATAAATCCATGCTTATACGATTTTCTTTCTCTTTACCCACTCGACAATCAGAAATCGCGATTTCTATCACCTGGTCCACTTTTTTTTTCATTCAACGACCTCCGTGTCATTGACCAAATTACCAAGTCATCACCTTGAAATTGAAAAGCAAAATACGAAAACTGATTGTTTAGTAGAGATTAGGTTGGAGTTGCATTAATTTAGCCTTGAAAGTCTTGCGTAAATGCTAATTATTGACAAAGTCATAAATGATTGTGAAAAGATCATTAATTCGCATTATGATGACACAAATGTGAATTCTATAGAGAGAAAATGTCGTTTTGACAGCACTTGTGTAGGATGCTGCCCACCTCATCTCTCAATGCATAAGAATACTTGAATAATATCCTTCGAGAGGACTTATTGATTTCACAAGAAGTTAAGTTATGAACTTCAAAGTGCTATTCTAAAAAACAACACTAAATGGTTTCCATCGTGAAAATAAAAAACGAACAATTCGCAAAAAAAATAGTTGAAACCCGCAGGTTTTTAATAGTGCTTGACTGTGAATTGATATCAACCTCGCGCCAAGCATGATTTCCATTTTACGCCTGAAACTGTGGTTGATAATGTCATGCCGATCTCCTTGAACCAATTCTGAAAATATTTAATGAACAAAATTTAGCTTTTGCTTCCGCATGGAAGTATTGTATTCATCAAATCCGAAATTTTCAATTTTTTGTGTGAACATAACTAATTTTGGCCTCAGAAGTTCGAATGTTTTTTCATCACGCTGTGCGAAAAAGTAACTTTTTAGGCATGCTTCGCGTGCCTAAAACGTCCCTTTTCCACACATTGTGATGAAAAATATCGTTCGATACTCATGGGAAAAGTGTTTTTTGGCTCGTGGGATTATATCAAAAAACTCTTTTCCGCACTCGTAACGAAATATACTATTTCGTAATTCCGGCCGCAAGGCAGAGATGTACGAACGCGTAGCGCCGTAATGACACAAAAAAATCATTCGACATACGATCTAAAAACAATTTCTCAGCTCATATGATTGCAGCCCTCGCCTTCGGCTCGGGCTCCAAACTCGTATTAGCCAGAAAAGTTTTTTTTTCAATCATTTTCTGTCTTGTAAACATTCGATTCAGGTTAATAGCTTGAATTGCGACAGAAATAAATTGAATCGTTGTCTACATATTAGTATTTTCTTCTCTTTAAATAACCCGCAGAATACAGATGACATCAACAAATGTAGACATAGTAAATCCTGTCAGTGTCATCATGCAACTCTCGGGGTTATTATATTTACATTACAATTTGAAAGTTTATGTCTGCAAAAACAGAATGAATCATGAAGTGCCATCATGAAATTCTATTCCAGAGTACCCATCGGAGGGTGCGAAATGGAACTGACGATTTATCAAAACATCCTGAGTAATTTTCATCATCCGGCGTCATAATTTTCACTACTCATTCTTATTATTTTTACTCTTCATCTCGGATTTGGTAATCCATCGTGACGACCAGGATGTCCATGAATATGACTCAGACGCCCTAGAAGCCTTAAAACAATATAAACAGCTACAGTGAAAAGGAATTGAAAAGCGAAAGGAGAAATGTTACGCCGTGAATGAAAAATTTTTCTACTGTTAGTTTTGTTATGTATGCACAGTAGAATGAATTACAGAGCAGAGAGCGTTTGTTATCCTCTTGGGGGCGTCAAGGTGTTCCGAGGAACGAGCGCGGTTTTCGGTTGAGTGCACCGAGGGGGATTCTCTTACCTATCGTACATGTGATACTCGTTTCCTCCTAATAATCATTCTGCCACGACGATCTTTCTACCATATACATCTGCCCCAGTGTGTAATTAATTGAAATTTATCTTACCGGATGTCTATTAAATAATTATTACTTCGCTTTTTTCGCACCAGAAATAGTCGTCCGCTTTTGATCGACGATAAATTTCCAATGGTGTACTAGTAGAAAAAATTAGTTATTGTTAACGAATGGATTTGGTTGGAGGTGAGGGTCTATTCCGTCTCATCAAATGTTCATTCGTTAATAGTTAACAAATGCATATTTGAGAAGCGTCAGTTTACGGGGCTTTGACCTTTCAAATGAACTATTCGTTAACTATGAATATTCATTTTGTCATATTCAACGCTACCATTCGTAAATAGTTAACGAATCTCGTTTGGAATAAACCAATCATTCTATCAGTGTGTTAAAGAGGATCCCTGAAAATTTTGTTCACTAACGATTGAAAAAATAAATTACTAGAAAGTCCAATTATGTGATGAGGAATGTAAATGATCGGTGAATTATGTCGACAAACCGTCAACTCATCTCCATCGATTGGATGAACTCATCACAGTATTCATAGATAGTTGAGGAAGGTGAAGGGACAAACAAACACGCCATTATCACAGATGTGGCGTGGACAGTTGCCGTAAAAAAAAGCAAGTCACGTGCCAGTCATTGTGACACGTGTCTTATTATGCTTGATTGTCCGGGGGAACAATAATGCTCGCTACTTCTCACATTCATATACACGCACCAATTGTTATTCCAGCCGGCGTCCCATCACTCAGATTCATCTCACTTGTAATTCGAAATTCAGAGAAATTCTTACCGGAACAGAACATTGACTTACGTTTTTCATTTACAGTTCCGCAGATGATCAAACTAGATCCATCAGTGATGCACTGGGGTCTCTGGATTTCTACCCTAGTCACGACGTCTTTTGCATTGATTGCCGCAGCCCTGTCGGCACTTTTAGCAGTATTAAATACCGCAACAACACCGAGAACTAAAATTCTCTCCGTTCCCGGGGTTTATTTAATGAATATTTTGACACGTAAGGACTCTCAAAATCTTTATTTAAAACCGCAGCACTCCAAAAAATTTTGATTTTCCTTCCAACACCTAGACGTAGTTATTTCGTTCATGGTAATAAAAATTTGAACACACCAGCGTTCGAACTCATCCAATGATTGAACTAATTTATATATTTATCGTAAAACAAATGCTCAATGCAATGAAATGGGACTTTTGTCCTTTTTAAAAACCGATATGAATAGTGAATAAAGTTCATGAATTCAATGAATTCCATATTGTTGAATCTTGGTCTTTCGATCATTCGTATTTGGCACTATATAGATTTAAATGTTTCAAATATCCGCATTATTTGTCTGGGTGCCCCAAATTTTTTTCTCGGTCATTGGATACACTAAGAGGCAAACAGCAGAGTTCTCAAACGAGTCTTACTTGCCAGAACAATCGTTTATTAAAAATTACGAAATCAGCATTTTTTCTGATAAACATACGAAGCGTGTGTCGAGATTGAGAATTTTTATTGCAAAAAGACATTTGATATTTTCCAAAAAAAAATTATTCTCTGTGCGAACCATAAATGTAATTTCTAGCACTATTTCTTTGTTATTCGACGCTCTTATACGTAATTTTCTCCCGGCAAATGCTCGCTCTATATGAAATGAGGGATAGTAGTTTGTCATTTCGGCTATTCTATAATCACAGACAAAAAATGAATTCTTAAGGCCTGGGTGGATTATCTTTCGAGCGTGATCTTGGTTGTTTTTTTTATTTTGATAATATGAAATGATCTCAATTACCATTCAGTTTTACATAGCCCTGGAATCTCCAAAAATTATGTTTGTACAATCAAAAAAACGTTGAAAAAAATCTGAATATTTTCAAAGAGTGTTTTTGAATAATATTGAGAAATAAACGCAATAGGGAGCTAATTGCAAATTAATTTAACTATTTCCTCTCTATCGACTTTCCTTCTATTGGACAATCTTGTGACTCAGGGATAAAATATTTCTTGATAAACTTCCCTCTATAAAAGATATGTTCATCCTGAAAAGGCACCACGTTGTATGAATAATCCGCCTCTTAAGCCAAATATTTCATTGCTGTGCAAAGCAGAGCAATTATTCATGTTTGAGACTTTCAAATGCGAATCAAACGATTATTTTTTTGGTAATTTTCAACTAATGATTTTGTTGGCCCAAACAAGACATGTTGAGAACTGGTTCGTTTTTCTCTCAGTGTAAAGTATATTTTTATTTCTATTTTTGGAGTTTTCTAACGGATTTATCCATTTGAACTTGATTATCATAAAACATTTGTTTATTTAATAGGGAACTTGCATGAAGCTCAATTCTTTTCAATTCCCCTATTCACCCATTCATCGTAACAGATAGATGCTAAACGGCGAAAGTTATGGAGAAACATTGCCTAGATGTATTATGATAATTAATTGAAAATCGGTCATTTTCGAGGCCAATTTTTCGGTCATGACATCACAAAGACGGTCAGGTGACGTTTCATTGCTGGAAAAAGAAGAGAGTGGGGAATTGTTGTCCTTCATTGGCCGAGGCGCACCTTAAGATGGGTTCGGTCGGCTCGAGCCATTCTGTAATTGGTCCAGCGCTCGACCGTCGGTGTGACGTCATTAGCGATTTCAAAGTGTTTGAAATCTTCAACTTTTAACTACGAATTATTGATTAATGAGTAATATTTCAAATGTTTGTGAATGAAAAAAATTAATTATTCAGGTCCTAAACTTGACATTAGAAAATTGAAACAAATTCATGCAAGTTCCCTATTTTGTGAAAACTGTCAGAACTAATGTTTACTAATCATCAATAAAGTTAATTTCATATGCTCTTCCATCGTCTCACAAAATGACTGCATTTTCCTCGGACATAAAAACATTGAATTTCCAGAAAAGAGACCATTATCCTTAATGAGGGGGGTGGGGACCTGTAGATTACTTATTATTTCCCTTTTACAGTTCTTCTTTGTGTGGCCAGCACCGCTACTTGGCTAGCCCAGTATTATGTAAAATTATACACAAATGTTCTGCCAAAAGAAGACATCAACAATATGTGGACCAGTGAAGGATCTGCAGAACTCGGGTATTCATTTTGGTGAGCATGAAGATATCTTTTTTTTTTATTTACTCGAGCCTTTACTCAAACCTAAAGGCTTATACAGCTCATGCAAATGTCTCTACACTGAGAGAAAAATTTCCTAATATGTAGACTATATTTACTTGAGAGGGTAGGGTGAACTGCCCATTTACGGAACATTTAAGCCCTTTCAGAAGTTTACACAGTCATGAAATATTGAAATTTTCTCTTGAAAAATTCAAGAAAAATACTGCCTAATTCCAAATTTAGTCTATTTTCTGAGAAAAAATGAAGGAACCTATCACTTGATGGGAAATAATTGGAAATAATTAATAAGTACACGCCCATCGAATATACCAAGGACGGAACACTTTTGCCAAGAGTGGAACATCGTCTGCCCATTTACGGAACATTGGAGGTTAGTGTGACGTTGAGAGATTAATTCCTGATGCTAAGTCATATCGAGGAGGATATTAATCAGAAAATATACAATTTTGTTCAATTCCTCCCGAAATTTATATCTTTTCGGTGGATTTCCCTAACTGTCAATACAGACTGACGACCATGAGAGTATCCAGATACTTTGTCGTTGACTCGTGAATGCAATGTAGTTTTGGGGATACCATAATTAATTGATGCATTATTTAGAGAGCTGTTCCCCGATTTCACAGCCTCAATCGCTTCTTCTAGATTTTTTTTGTGTATTTAAACCGTTGAGAGGGTTTCCTAACCTCTTCTGCCTTGGCTGATTGTTCTCCCTCCTCTTCGTGTATTTTTCGTGTGTTTTTACCTTTTGAAGCCATCTACGCGAAAAAATGAAGAAAATAAACTAATTTAGGGATACGATTCCGATTAACTTCATTAAATTATTAGTTCATTAACCGCCAATACACTTTCCACAGTATCACCGTATTCCCACTTGACATAGGTATCCACCCGTATGAGTGTTCCGTTCGTTTGGAATTGCGTGGAAAACTAACCCTAAAGACGGAACCCCCATATATTCAATACAATAGCATTTTTCAGATGAAATTGATATGGAAATATTGCAGAATGAAGGATTTTATATCAATATCAATCACAACTTACCGCATTTTGTGATTTAAAATCTAAAAAACATCGCTTCAAAAAAAACCCGTCAAATGGCACGCGTAACTATCAATCGCCGCAAACTGGCTGCTGCCAGGATTTTTCTCCAATATTCAGCAGGAGGTAATCGATAGCCGATCAGATTTGTGATGACGTCATAAGGAGGGATATAAACTTAATTTAGAAAAAAAAATCAAATCGATAGCTTGGCCAAAATTTGAGAAATCTCGTAAAATCTGAGAAATGTTCCGTTCTTGGGTAGTGTTCCGCATATGGGCAGTTCACCCTATCCGGTTAATTCATCCCACGATAGTTTCGTCCCATTTTTAATGATTATTTATGATTACTGTTTGAATGAAGAATACGCTTGGCTGAATCGCGTGACTTATCGAATTAGCAGTGTTGACCGTTTAGTGTTGTCACTATTCAATCGATATTTCCTTTGGAGATGAAATTTTGTTGGTCATGGCATTCAAATTAGTCACTTTTAGAATGTCTGCTGGGATACACGCTTTACAATTGACGTCGATTTCTGATTGATTGATCTGATTGATTTTGATGTTGTGTTTAGTGCCGTTTTCTGTGAAAATAAAGCTAATATTTTTCTCTCCCTGAATTATTGTTGTGACCGTGAAAAATTCCATTGGAATTTGATATTTGAGATGAAATTGTCGTTGGATTAATTTGTTTTGGGATGAATTTACCTAGAACCACTTGAGAGTAGTAAATTTTTTTTACTGGCTGAAATCTCAGAATGGTTGCGGTTCAAGGAATTTGCATAAATTCTCATTTATCATTACCGTAACACTTTATATCATGAATATATTCCATATCAAAATATTGGAACTGCATAACAAAAAAATACTGAAAATAATAAATACTTGAAGATTGACGATTCTTCTACGCGATTTGAGTGAATTCATTTGCGGCAAAATCATGCTTGAGTACACGAATATTTTGAAGCATATGAGACCTTTCTCACCTCTTGTGAGTTGAGATGCCTGGGAGAATTAAACAATTGAAGAAACATTACTTGTCTCAAGAAAATATTTTTCAGATATTAAAAATTTTTTTCTCCGTGTAATTTCCTCAATAATGGACCATGGAAGGCCCAGTTTTGGATGCTCAGCGATATTTTCCGTATATAGATGTGAAGAATTGTTACTTTCTATTTGTTTAACGGAAATTTATCTACCATGTATCACTTTGCTCTACTGCGTGAGTTGGAGAATGTCAGGTTGATTCCATCAATTTCATGATTGCATCTTTGAAACAGACAATTTTCGAGAAAGTTTGGCCACTTGGACACGCCCGAAAATAGACCTGCCACCGTATCAATATCCCATCAACATTACAACATTCTATAATATGAGTTATGCATTTTGATTTTCTCTGAGGGGATCTTCCGGATTTCGAGGAAATGATAAATTCCTATCTATCCCCCTATCATTAATACAGCGGTCGTGGCGCTATGAGTGCTCCGCCGCACTTGTGATAATTATTTGGATAACATTTTTTCAAAGTTCTACGAAAATAATAATAAACATGATGTCTCTTTTTGAAATACACATTTAAGGATAATCGGGCGAGCCCGGAGGGTTGGAAAAAAAGCAGCCATTTTTTTTGTATTCTTTAAATGATGGAAAAGGCGTGTGCAAAGTTTCAGACTGCTGGGGAGCATGGTTAATTTATTATGAATTTTTGAAAAAGTGGTCATTTAACCTGTGATCTTATGGAAATCACAAAAAAACTGCAAAACCTAAGGAAGTAATGCAGCCAAAGTCATGAAACTTTAGCTACATTTAGAACATGTGATCAATGATTTTTTGAGCGAAAAAGATGTCGCCTAGGAGCATTGTTTATTAATAATAGCGAAAAAAGTACTGAAAAATGAAATTTCTGCGCACGCAGCCCAAACGAGCAGCAACGTCTCAAGTCCCGATCGGGTGGGGGTAGCGCGATCAATTTAAACGTCTCTTGAGAGAGAGCGATGAAGCGTTGTGATTGGAGCTCCCTCGAGCCAGTGGTACCAGCTCCTGGTGAAAAAAAAACTACCGACGATGTTCCCACTTTTTCGCATGGATTAATATTTTTTCATTTATTAAAAAGAACAATATGAAAACCATTCAATGCATGGAACAGATAGAAATAAATTTGATTAGCTCCAAAAATAATTTTTGACCAGAGATACTCCCTAATATTGCCTAAATTTTGAATCCGAATGGGAAAAATTTTTTTGTTCAGCGATTGGTTTTCTGCAGGAAAACAATAGAAACCCCTCCGCCTCACCTCCTACATTTCCTCTTCACCCTATTATCCTTAAGGGGACTATCAAAAAATGTTTTCTTTCAATTCTAATAATGAAGAATAATAATTATGATATTGAGCGTATTGTCAAATTAAGAAAAACTACTCACCAACGAAGGGTTAGTCTTCATCAGACTTAAGGTGTCTCGTTCGAAAAAAGTAAATAATTACATCTATATGAGGTATTCCATGCCAAATGAGTCAACGGCTAACCCTCATCCTCTTGAAAATTGGTGGCGATTTTTTCTACGATTAGGGGGCTTGAAAAACTATCTCTCAAATTTTTTCAAATTTTTTTGACTGCCCAGTTCGGAAATATGATTTTTTTTCAAATTGTTTCGTTTTTTTACAATAACTGGAGTTCTACTCATCCGATTTCGATTTAGTAGGGAGCAAAATTTTCCATTTTTCACCACCTATAAGAATGTTTTATTTTCATTTTTCCAATCTTTAGATGCTCGAAATAACGAATTTTCGAAAAAAAAAGTTGAAAAACTTGAATTTTACCAGTTACGTCACGGTCGATTATTTTAATTTTTTTTTCAGTAATTCTTACAATGAAAACGAAAATTTTGAGCCGTCATACATGTTGGGTTCCATCCAAGATCTATTTTGTTAATAATTTTTTCTTTTTAAAATTGCGAAAATTTGGTGAAACCGCCTTAAAACGATTTTAATTATGTATCGAAAAAATATGTAATATATAGGTATATATTTAAATTAACTTCATACTGTTTATAATCAAAGTCAACCAATGACATTTTGGGCTATTTTGACCGAATTCGCGGAATTTTTAGAATAAAAAATTGAAAATAAAATAGATCTAAGACGAAACCCAACATGTATGACGGCTCAAAATTTTTGTTTTGATTATACGAATTACTAAAAAAAAAAAATAATCAACTGTGACGTTTTGAGTTAGATCACCCACCGCATTAATCCTGGGTGATCTAACATGTGACTAGTCCCTGGGACTAGTCACAAATAGAAATAAGCTTTCCTTTCCTAGGGCCGTCGTACCCTATGTTGACCGGCTAACTGTCGCGTGGGATTCACTCAAGTTGCGAATGATGAGGGAATTGGAAGGTATTGTACCGAAGATAAATACACGATTAACTGGTAAAAGCATGGTATATTTAACTCAACTACTAACTACGGTACACGACAGTGTTATTGATAGGTTCGGTAAACGCGTTATTAAGAGATCGGACTTAGACTTATGAGCTTGGAGATCCGCTCCACTTCGCTCCCGATCGTACTCTGACTCTGAAGGACTCCTCAAAACTTGGCAAAGCCCCAATTCGCTGAGTTAAGCAGTCTCACGGTTTTCTCCACCAACACTGTCTCGTGTCATCATTGACAGAGACTCAAACAGTCAAACAGTTCATCGTTCTGAACTGGACTCCTGAAAAACCGTGGGACTGCTTACCACGGTGTCCAAATGACACCGTGGGATTGCTGACCAGTGTCTGGATGACAGGAAAGAGAAATCATATTTCTCGTTCCCACCGTCCAGCATTATATTATTATTTTATATAATTACTAACTAAATCGACGTATTGATCGATCCCAATACGTCACAAAACCGTGACGTAATTAGCCAAATTCAAGTTTATCAATTTTTTTTTTCGTTATTTCCAGCATCCAGAGATCGGAAAAAATTTGTACAAAAAACATTCTTATAGGTCGTGAAAAATGGAAAATTTTGATCCCTAATAAATCGACATCGGATGAGTAGAACTCGAGTTATTGTAAAAAAAAACGAACAATTTGAAAAAAAAAAATATCTCTGAACTGGGCTGTCGAAAAAATCTTAAAAAATTTGAGAGATAGTTTTTCAAGCCCCCCAATCGTAGAAAAAATCGCCATCAATTTTCAAGAGGGTGAGGGTCAACCGTTGACTCATTTGGCATGGAATACCTCATATAGAATTCATATACATTATACATGGGCTCTTACGGAGAATTTTTTGTTTAGCCCGAAACCGCGTCATCATCCGAGCAGATAATATAGTTTCATGCTAATTTGAAAAATTGCAATAAGTGCTCACGTATAAGAAAAGTTAAGGATATCCAAGTGCTGTGGCTATTTTTTTTTTCAGTGAAATGCTTTTCTACTTTTGTAGTCGAAGATCAGTTTTCATTTGACCCTCAATTGACCCTAAGACTCTGGACATTTGACAATGATTTTATTACACGGACGAAAAAATTTAATAGAAAAGCCTATCGAATTCGTTAGAAAATTCTATTGAATTTCTATTGAACTGTTCTATTAGTTTTGGGCCGATTTTATTGAAATGTTCAATAGAAAATATGCAATAGAAAAAGTCAATAGAAGTCAATAGAATTTTTCTATATAATTTATTCTATTGAGATATTTTCTATAGAATTTCCTCGGCTCACATTTTCCAAGTTTTTTCGTTTGATTTTCTTGGTGAGAAAAAAAATAGAATGAAAAAACTTTGAAAATTTGAGTCGGGCAAATTCTATAGAAAATATCTGATAAGAATAAGTTATATAGAAAAATCGAATTCTGTTGACTTTTTCTATTGAATGTTTTCTATTGAATATGTTGATAGAATCAGCCAAAAACTAATAGAAAGTTTAATAGAAATTCAATAGAATTTTCTAACGAATTCGATAGGTTTTTCTATTAAATTTTGTCGAGCGTGTACTTAAACTTTGCAGATCTGAATCTCAATATTAAACCGTTAGAAAACATTGTAAAAATCTAAAAAAAATTAGAAAGTTCACTGTTGGAGGAAGATTGAGAAAATAATTTGCAAAATTAAGAGCATTTTTTGTAAATAATTTAGAAAGAATTTTCCACCGTAAAACTAATTTTTTTGGAATCGTAACAAATTTATTCATAGTCAGAATTTTTCCAGGAATCGCTTTCATGCCTAAGAAAATAAGGTCTCCGAAAGTTTAAACAATTTCAATTATTTATTTATAAACAACGAATGTTAAAAAAAATAACGATTCGTTGTAAAATATAATTTAAATGATGCCGAATATTCATGACTTTTTTTCAAATTTACCCCACTGTAAAAGCTACTTGGATATGCTTAAATTCGACGTTCATGGTTTGTAAACAAAATGTAGAAAAGTTCGAAAAAAATCAGACATTACCTGACAACTACGATGAATATTCGATAAAAATTTCGATTCAATGTAATTGCTTTTTGTCACAGATGAAACCCCTTAAGGTTATTTCTCTAGTACGTCAAAGATAGTTACAGAAATATAAAAAAATTTAGCTTGCGTTAATTTGATGCTAGAACAAAATTCAGTAAGTTTCAAATCGTTTAGATCCCTCCTGCAGAAGAAAATTGGAAATAAAATTAACATATGTCCTTGTGCAAAATATAAAAAAAATCTAACTTCGTAAAAAATAATTACAAAAATCTAAAACTACTCTGACACAACAAGGAAAAATGTAAACAGAATTTAGCGAAAAAATAGCGATTATTGAGTGCCTCGCCTTTTTTGCTATATTATCTTAAAAAAATATAACGAAACAGTAGAATCTCACGTTGAGATCCCCTTAGTGACCCAAATTTTTTCAAACACATTATGTGGGAAACTTCAATTTCTGAGAACTAGAATGGTGTATAATACAGAAACAGTTTTAAAGGGTGTTGTCTTACAAATGTTGTTGTTTTACTAACGACCGTCATATGAACATATATATTTTCCGACTAAAGTACCGGAACATTTATGGGGCATTCTATGCCAAGTCAACCATCAAGGTTGTTAATGAATACCATATTAAAATTATGGGGAAAAATTGTATATTCTCATCACCCTTCAGAAGAGATAAAAGTCCATTCATTTCCGATTGGCCCTTACTGAAAATTGAATTTGAAAAATAAAAAAATAGCACAATGTGTTATTAAATACCTCTACGGTATTGTCGTATTTTTATTCGGCAACTACTTGAAAAAACAAAAAGAATCGTTTTTTATTCATTCAAATCAATTTATTTGATGGTAAGATTAATTCCTGAAAATTTACAGAAATCATTGCTTTGTATAGTGCTTGGTTTTGAACATGGCAATTAACGTTTATAAGATAAAAAAATCAAGGTGGTTGAGTTCGCATGGCACATCGTATTTTAGTATAAACACTAATTAACATTTCGAATATCGAAAAAACGACTCGTAAAAAAGTTTTTCCGATTATATCATATCAGTAGGGAAGTAGTCAAACGGTCTAAGTCAATTCCATTCTAGCGCCAGTTCTCGATGAATATCTCAAATCCTAACGGAGTTAGCAAAATTTTTCTACAAATCTTTTTTGTAAAGAAAAGTTAAGACTATCGAAAAAGATATTATACAACAAAAACTCAACTAGGAGTTAAATCGACTTAAACCGATTGACCACATCACTATTGATATATATTTCTCCCTTAAGGATATCCAAGTATATTTTACAGTTTAAAACAGACCATACTATAGATTCAATCATTTTCAATCATCAAATGTATCAATTAAATTGCGTAAGAAAAATTGGAAAAAAATCATGAATATTCAGCATGATGCAAATTACATTTTGCCCAGAATTATTATTTTTTACAACATTCGTTGTTTATACATAAATTATTGAAATTGTTGTCTGAATTGTTGTTGAAATGAAATCGATGTCTGGTAAAATTCTGAATATGAATGAAATTGTTACGATTCCGGACAAATGATTTTTAGGGTGGAAAATCGATTGTTTATAAATTATTCATAGAAAATGCTCGTAATTTTTAAAAATTTCTATTTCCAAATTATTCCATCAATCTTCTTTCAAAAGTAAACTTTCTAATTTTTTTTTCAGATTTTTGGTTTTCTAATGTTTAATATTGAGATTCAAATTTAAACCTGCAAAGTTTAAATAATAAAGTCATTGTAAAATGTCCGGAAACTTAGGGTCAACTGGAGCTCAACCGAAAGCTCTCATGTTCGACTACAAAAGTAGAAAAGCATTTCACTGGAGAAAAAATGGCTAAAGTTCTTGGATATCTTTAAAAATGGCCAAGCCCGTAAAAAAATAAACTCCTGAACCTAATAACGTCCATACTAAACATTAAAATGATGTAAAATTCTAATGGACGACACAAAATGTAAAGAGAATGCCTCAAGAAATTTGCAAGACAATTCTTTTTGCGCTACGGCTACGTTAAATTTCGGAAAAATGTGGACGCGATTACAGAGAACTTTCTACCCAACGCATGAACTCTCTTGCGTATTTTTTTTCAACCGGCATCCTTGTATTCATCTTTGTCCGCTGTGTATATAGACTCCGTTACGCCCGAGATAAAACAATGCGAAGTAAAAAAAGTTAGTTGGAGGCAACACCAGAAGAAACTCACAGACAGTTGCAATAAGACTGAGGACTGCTTCACGTAGGGAATGGGATGGAAAAAAAATTGGCTAAAAACCCTGTAAAACTACTTGCGGAGTAATGAATGGTAATTGACTAATTATGTGAATTTTAATTATGTATTTTATGTTTTTAGGCTCATCGTGAGCGCTGGGGTTGTTCACCTCATCAGCATAGCATTAGTCGGCTGGGGATCAGGGAGAGCCAAAGACGATCGTCTCGAACCTATTCCTGCTCTTGAGGAGAAAACTGCTGCTGCCATAATGCTTTATTAGACCACAATTTATTATCAAAATTATCAAAATTTTGCCATTCAAGGACGATTTCCATTTTAATCGCAGTGATTCCGTCTGGAAATCCCACAAACACGATTGCCAAGTTGAATTAAGCATCAAATGATGCTATTTATGCCTAACGATATATGTACAACTCTTTTCATTAGAATAATTTAGTCATGAATTGACTTTTTCAATGATGAATTGTTTGCCGCAAGTTGTATGTGATTATCCCAATTTTCTCTCTGGTAACTGCATTCTTCCATTCGTATCGAGTAAATACTTATATGATACATAAAGTGTGCGAATCTGCTGTGCTTAGATGATGAAATAATGCTTTTGTGAAAACCTATGTAAGACCGTGTAAATAGAAAGTCCAATGTGAGACAATCATTATCACGTTCAGTAGAATAATTAAATTATTACGTAAATGTTAGGATTATTTTTGGAGCTGTATTTTTATCTGATAATAAAATAAAACGAGAAAATGATTTTTTATCTGATTTTTCCATTAATAGGGAACTCATTGTTTATAGATGTAGAATGACCGTCATTTTCCCTTTCACTCAGGTCGGACGTAAATGACCGGTTTCTGACCGTTTTCTAACTCGCAAATTGCGGGTCATCTGTATAAGAGCAGTTCCACGCCAAAACGGACACCTAAAAAGTTCGATGTCGCGGAATTTCTTGCTGATTTTTTCTTGGAAAGTTGAGCATTAGACAAACATTTTGAAAAAAAAAAGTCGAAAATATTAATAATTACGGGAGTTATGATTTTTTGAAATTCCCTTATATTTTTTTGATGAAATTTTTTTTCCGTCCCGGCGGGCGCAAAGTTACATTTCCCTCCCGCGAAGCGGGAGGGAACTCTGACTTTGCGCCTACGCAGAGACGGAAAATCACGTTCTAACCACGGGAAGTAAAATAAAGGACCCGCAGCCGCGTGCTTAATGATGATAACCTGAGAATAGTATATTTCTAACCTAGGGAGGGAAAATAAAGGATCCTCTGTCGATGTTCAATTGAAAAATTCATCAATTCTTGAAATAATAGGATTAACAGCGATTTCTGATCATTTTTAGTAGTTTGCTTATTTTAAAAAATCATATCTGCCAAACTACTGCAAAGTACTGACTTTAATTGACGCCAAAATATTCGTCATTTAATCGATGATTTTTGATGAAAATTTCAGATTTTTAAAAAATTAGGTTTTTGAGATAATCGCGATTGAAAAAAAAACACGTTTTGTGGCATAAACCCCGTAAACCTGAAGGGAATGGAATGAGTGGCGTCTCATTTTGAAGATTTTTTCATGTTTTTTAAGTGTGTTGAAGAGAAATTTGATAGCTTTAATCTGGGCTCGGATATTAATGATAATCTGAGAAAAAAAATTTCATCAAAAAAATACAAGGAAATTTCAAAAAATCATAACTCCCGCAACTATTCATATTTTCAACTTTTTTTTTCAAAATGTTCGTCTAATGCTCAACTTTCCAGGAAAAAATCAGCAAGAAAATCCGCGACATCGAACTTTTTAGGTGTCCGTTTTGGCGTGGAACTGCTCATAAATGGAAATTGATGGTCAAAATTTATTCGGTCATTTTATGCTTGTGGCCAAAAGGCATTTTTTGTTTATCATATGGCCAGATTATCGGCGCGGTAATTTCCGGTCATGACCGTGATCATTGGCGGTAATTTTACTGGTAATTTTTGTCACTTACATCTCTATTATTGTTACGATTGTAAAAATAAAAGATGAACATTCCTGGATAATCCCCACATTTCGTGGCTTTTAAAATCTTCAAGATATTTTCGAAGAGCTATATTATTAAATCTGATTCGATTTCAAGTTGAATTCTAAGTCGGTTTTGAGGAATTCAACTTCAGGGTGAATTTTTCATAATGAAATCTCTACAAAAATCTTGTTAGTAGAATTAAAAAAAGTCCCTACATATTCACCTGTAATGTCCAAAATTTTGTACGAGAAACTTTAAGGCTAGAATAATTTTATGTGAAATCATTAAGAACCAAACCAACAATTGTAAACTAAATTGAGTGCATTTCATCACTTGAACTCGATTAAAAATTCCAAAGACATTGGAATCGAGTTCAAAAGTGATGAAATGGCACACTCAGCATGCCCCAATTACCCAATACTAAGATTCGCACGCGAAGGAACGATTGCAAACAGATTAATTAAGACCCCAAAAACCGAATGAACTACTTCCCCATAAAAATCAAGAGTGGGAAAAGTCATACGACATTTTCCACCAATTAAAAATGGACTCGTTTGAGCCCATGTGACAAGTGACCCCAAAATTCATATAAAAATGTCAGAAAAACCAAAATTAAAGTCTTGAAGCAGCGACGGAGCAGTAACAATTCTGGTGGAAATAGTTAATTTAATCGGTCCGGTTTTTCAATCCTTCCTTCGACTACACAGGATAGTACTGAATTAATAGTAAGTTACGAACAATTGAAATTATCCGGGAATAAAATTTCTTTAACCGAGAGTGGTGACTTTTCTTGCAAATAAGGAATTCGTTTATTGTAACGCGTTGTGGACAGTCTCAACCAAACTCTTAAAAATCTTCAACTTCAACTGCCAAAAATTCATTAAAATATCAACGAGTAGAAGAAAGTGTTTCCGTGAAAGTATCCATAATAGCCTTTAGCGCGACTAATTGCTGGTGAGGAAATTACGGATTTACCCAAGGATCTACAAGTACATCGAATAATTTATAAATAACAGACCGAATTGTGAGTACCAAAATTTGTAAACTCAAATTTGAATCCTTCAGATAATTCCAGGGATAGGAATTTTAGCTACCTAGATTTCGGTAAAATCACGCTCATGATTTTGTAAACCAAACAGTTATACAAAATATATCTAAATTCAAATTTGATTCTCATTACAACTCCAAATGTCTTGATTAGAAATTTGTCTCAACTTAAGCCCTATCCCTAAATCAAGCCCTTTTTCCTTATATTTTAAACAAAGGTAAGAGTATAAAACTTTGCGTCGTCCAATAATTATAAAATTCAATAATTTTAGCTTTGATTTTAATGTGACAATTAAAACATGTCCATTCGACGCTAAAATCCTTCTCTGGACATAACAACTAAAATTTCATGGCGCAGTCGGTAGGACACGCCTGAGTTCCCAATACTCTTATCTTTTTAATATTCTGAAATTTTTGAAACCCATTCNAAGGTGACAATTAAAACATGTCCATTCGACGCTAAAATCCTTCTCTGGACATAACAGCTAAAATTTCATGGCGCAGTCGGTAGGACACGCCTAAATTTCCAATACTCTTATCTTTAAATTTAAATTCCCATAAATTCACGTAACCTATTCTCAATTAAAATTAAAATTTTAGCATTGAGAAACTTCATTTTAAATTTCAATAAATTTGAGTTTTTCTTTAAAATCATTAGAAATAAAAAATTTTCTTCCGTTTCTCAATTTTTATTGGAAATTAGCAATTTGAGAATTTTTAAAGTTGTAGTTCATCAACATTTTAGCTTCTAAGTCTAAAAACTGAATCGTGGATAGAATTGATTATTCTCGTTTTCCATTTTCGCCACAAAACTTAATTAAACTGTCACTTTATCACGGGCCATTGAAATACCTGAAAAAATTATCATTTGAACTTGCTTTAATTTAATTAAATCTACATGTTGGTTCCGATTATACGGAACCAATTGTATCGTTTGGTTAACGAGAATGGTTGAGAAAAACTGTTATGTTGTACTCAACGGCATATTCTAATATCAATGCAGACTTTTCTCAACAAAATGAGCTAATATACATAATGGAGGCCCTTCATGTCTTAACATGTGTAATGTTATGCATTCATATCTGTCTATACAAAATGTAATTCCCATATTCTTATTACACGATGTACATACTGAATCCCCTATAGAACAATCCGTGATCGTGACACTGGTCCTTTTCCGGGTTTTCACGTTAATGTCTCTCTTCCTGTTTGATGAACCTTCTGTTTTATACTCATTCGACAGCCTATTAAATAAACCTCAAATTGATACGTGAATCATTTCATTCTAATCATTTTTCATTAAGTTATGGCACAGTTAGGCAGAAATTGGTTTTTCGTGCTTGTACGTCAAAATCAACTATGGCTGGATTTTGCGATTTGTTTACGTTAAACCAATCGAAATATTGATGTACCATCTTGAAGGGCATTATTCGTTCTACAAATTGTGATGTATTGAATGCAATTTGCTTGAATTTTATAAAGTTATTGGAGATTGTTTCTCTTTTGAACGTCGGTGTTAAAGTATGCTAATTCAATGATAAATCACAAAGTCGTTGGTACGGTCCGTACACACTCATCCCTAATCTATTTTCCCTCACAGATTATCTGGAACAGCCAACGCGATTTATAAAAATTTTGTGGAGAAGGGATAAAATGAAGTGACCAAGTGCAGAATTTTAAGATATAAGAGAACTTTATTAATAGAGGTATACCGATCTAGCAATATCGAACCTCATTGCTCACATACATAATCATCATTATCATAAATCCCTTAATTCAACTTCAATTTTTCCGGTCAGCTGTATCCCATTTATTACAAAGCATAATAAGAATGGTTAATTTGCTTTTGAAACAATACTCACAACTGAGATGAAGATGGAAAAAGAAAAATTCAAATAATTCTATACATTCGCACTCCTGTATCAATTAATAACGGTAAAAAGTCTGGCAGTAAAAAATGATTTTATAGCTTCGATTATAGTATTCGAATACTCCGGAAAAATCGAAGCGAATATATTCCCAGTGCTCAGACAAATTATCATAAAGATTATCTGAATTTTATTATTTTTCCTTTTTCAATATTAATAAATGAGACAAATTCTATTAGATTTTTAGCGTTTGACTACGCGCGACCAGCCTTCGTCCTCCGCCGCCTCTCGTCGCTCTTCACGTTTAGGTTTCTCATCTCGACGGTCACGATCGTCTCTCCTGGAAACAGACAAGATTATTTTTATAGTTCTTAAATAAGCTTCCTGTTTCATTCGCAGGAATATTTTAACGGCCAAGTGGTCAACCATGATCCATGAATTTTAAACCATTTGGTAACTTTAGCTTTAGCATGATTTCAGTTTTTCTTGAATTCTACATGCTCAAAATATTCCTGTGGAATTGCACCCATTGAATTGAATATTGACAATTTCGAATTGTACAATATGGAATTCAGATTGCGCAATGTGTATTTGGGTTGATGAACTTCAAGTTAATAGAATTCAATATGTATATCGTGTAATGACAGTGTGATGATTACAATCGCTGTGGAAAAAGCGTCAATCCAAAAAATCAAATGTTTCAAAGATGGAGGAATTCCATTGTGAGTATGAGGTCCTTTTGCAGAGAAAATGTCAGATCTTGTTTGTATCTCGTAGTATAAAAAAATGTGTCGAAATTAGCAATGTCACATAGTAGAGATGCAAATGCGTCACATGACTCGTCATATGATGGTCACGTGATGAGGGGTATCCCGTTAATAGATCCCGGAAAAAAGACCCTTCGCCTTTTGATCCCGGGAAAAAGATCCTTTTGCAATGAGATCCGTTACAAAAAGATCCTGCAGCAATAAGATCCTTTTTAATTCGTTTTGGGTTCCAATGATTGTTAATTATGTTTCTAGGTCGTAGGAGTGGGTTCGTGGTTTCTGTTATTTATATTTTTCGGCTTTTCATAAATAATGTCGTGTTTTATTCACTTTAATGTCACGTATTTACATATTATTACATAACAAACAACAATCATTGTCATGAAGAACAATTACGGCATGTTGTCTGTCCCGTTGACATCGAGCTACTGGTTAGTGTGCTGGCTTGCCCGATTCTTTCGGGAATTGGTAATGTTATTGGTGGGAATTTGAGACGTGTGTGAGGTTGCGAATGTGAAGGATCGATTATTCTAGTTGTTTACATTCTCAATTTTGTATAGTGGGGATTTGAGACATTCGCGAAGCCATGCACCGTAATTATCGATTACCTGAGGTGTTTATATTCTGAATATGAATTGCTTCTTGTGGTTGTTGATGTGTTAGTGTAGACATATCTCTGTAGGATTAGAAAAATTGAGGGTTTTTGGAGAGGATCTTTTCGGTGAGGATCTTTTTGTTGAGGATCTTTTTGTTTGGGGATCTTTTTGTCGCGGGATTTTTTTGGGGGATCTTCCCCTTGGGGACCTTTTGACATGGACTCGTGATGAGGCATTTATGACGGCCGTCACAATTTGCCAAAACAATATGACAGTCATTTTTCATTTATATTTTCATCGATATAAATGCAAATTCATTTTTCCTTTATCAATTGTTATTTGAATTCAGTCCGTATCAGCCTAAAGTGCACTGTGAAACGAAAATCACGCTCATTTTTTATCTCTATGGATGAAACATTATTTTAATTAATGGCCGTCACCAATTAGAAATTAGTTATGACCGTCATTATGCATCTATATGTCCCATTCCGTCAAATATCGTACGAGACTTCAAAATTTTCGACAATTTTTTTTGGTATTCTCGATACTTATGTATAGAAAAAAAAGATTTATCGGCTAGCAGAGATGCCGCGGCTTAGAGGTGCTCCGCGTGATTAAACGTTTTAGACTCAAAATTCGCTCTTATTTAACGTGTTTATAAATGTTTAGAAAGAAAATTCAACATATAGTTTTTAATCGGAAATTTTCCGAATTAAAAAAAAATGGTAGTCATTTTGTTGCTCCACTTCAACTTCATGGTGAAAATCGAAATATAAAGTTTCAAACGTTGATTTCAGTCGGTTCCACACTTTCTTCCCTAAATCGGATATTTTTTCCGGAAAATTCAGAAAATTTCCGATTGCAATCATCTCTGAAAAATGTGCGCTCATATGCTGTAGAGCTGAAAGAGAAATAAAAACCAAAAAATGAATCTTTCGAAAATTGATTTCTCACGATCTTTGGGTAAATATTAAGAAAGAGGGCCCCACCACCGATCTTTCTCAAAACTTAACCATCGGATCGGTGGTGGGGCCCTCTTTCTTAACAGTTACCGAAAATTGTAATTACAAGATTTTAATTTTTTTTCCGGCTGTACGGCACACGAGCACATATTTTTCAAAGATCATTTCGATCAGAAGTTTTCGGAATATTTCAAGAAAAAGATCAGATTTAGGAGAAGTGAGGAACAGGCTCGAATCAACATTTCAAGTTTCAATTTTCACAATGAAGTTTGAAGTGAGGGAACAATATGACCAGCATTTTTGAAAGTTCAGAAAATTCCCGATCCAAATCTGTTTTGAATTTTTGTTTTCAGCATTTTTTTAATATGGTAAATAAGAGCGAAGAATTTCGGGTTTAAACCACTTAATTACGCAAAGCGCCTTTAATTAAGCCACACGATCTGTGCTAGGCGGGAAATCCTCGTTTCTAGATATAAGTATTGAGAAGAACCAAAAAAAAATTATCGAAAATTTTGAGGCCAAATCTCGTACGATATTTGGCGGAACAGCCCATATCGATAGTTTGAACAACAATTTGCTTGCAAATTATTTGTGATCATCATTTTTAGTTAGAAAATTTGTGCGTCACATGACCTTAATTTCTGACTATTTTGATAAGGTGTGACTAGAGATGCAAAATGACCACTATTTTTTCAAAAATGACGGTCATTTTGCATCTCTAGTCGCACCGTATCAAAATAGTTGCATATTTCAAAAGACCTATTCTGCCTCGTTCTGTTCCGCTTTAGCACTTTCCCACGAATCTGAAGAATTATCGAAATGGAATGGATTCTTACTCGTCACGCTTGAGTGCTGGATCGCGTGGTGAGTCGTGACTCTCTCGATTGCGCCAGGAGCCCTCCGTAGATGCAGAGGAGCGTTGATATCTGGGTCTGTCATCATCACCACCACGTCGAAGTCCGTCTGAACGTTTTGGTGGGCCTCTCTCTGCTAGCCTATCGTCACGCCTATCATCTTTACGGAAATCGCTTCGCCTATCATCCCCATCACGTCTCTCATCCCTGCGATCATCTCCACCACGTCTCCAAGTTGAGCCCATATTACGAATGGGAGCCTTCTCAAACCTTGAATCTCTCTCCTTATCTTTGTTGAAGCCACCCCACTTGCTTGGCGCTCGATCGTCCTCCCTGCGTCTGCGATCGTCATCTCTGTCATCTCTAGGTTTGACTTCATCTCTGGGCTCACTCCGCCAGGAAGACAATTCAGTTGGCTTCTCACGTTCGCGGTCCTTGAAGCCCACGCGTTCTGGACGAGCAGAGCGTTCGCGATCAGTATTGTCTCCTCGTCTCCAGGTCGAAGGTTCAACATGCTTACGTCTTTCTTCCTCCAGTTTACGTTCGATTTCCATTTCCTTCGCCCTGATGATTTCAGCCTGTTTTGCAAGTTTCTCCAACCTCTCAGCCTCTTTAGCAGCCTCCTCCTCCCGCCTGATTCTGTCCTCCTCCTCGCGCTTAGCTCGCTCCTCCTCCATGCGCTTCCTCTCCTCCTCCTGCTTGATGCGAAGTTCCTCCTGATACTTTCGTTCGGCAGCTTCAGCCTTCTCCCTCTCCCACTTCTCTCTCCTCTCAGCTTTCCTCTGGGCCTTCCTCTCCTGGAGGCGTTTGGCCCGTTCCTCATTGAATTTAACCTCAAACTCGGCCAATTTCTCGAGATATGCATTCTTGCGTTCTGAAAGAATTTTCGACAGGAAAAGTTCAGCGTCTTCTTTCATTTTCAGCATGCGCTCACGAGTTGCAACGGCTTGATTACGTTCTTCAATAGCAGCGAGGATTCTCTCCTCCTCCTGTTGTTCCCAGCATTGCTTGGCCAGCTCTTGCTGCTCCTCGACAGCCTTCTCCAACAGAGGAATCTCAGCAATTCTCTTGGCACGCTCCAGGTAATCAACCTTCTTCTCTTGTGATTTAAGTTTCTGCTGCATTTCACGACGCTCTTTCTGAAGCTCTTCAGCTTCTCTAGCAGCAATTTGCTCGGCGTCGAGTTTTTTAATCTCATCCTCATCGAGTTTCTTGAGGACCTTCTGTCCATGACTCGTCTGAGATATTTGCTGCATTTTCTCCTTCAGATGACGATCCTTGATCTGCTGAATCTCACTCTGCTGGCGTTTTCGTTCACGCTCCTCGCGCTCTTGCTCCAGACGCTTTTGCTCAGCCATCAATTGCTGACGATGGAGCTCCTCCTGTCGCCGCATCTCTTCCTCCTCGCGAATCGTATTGACACGCTCAATGTATTCCTTACGTTGTTCAATGATGACTTGCCTCTCAAGGATTCTCTGGTGCTCTTTGCTCTTCGTTTCATGGTAGAGTGCAACCATTGCATTACGTAATTTCTCACGTTCCTGTTTACGTTTGTTGGGGTTGATGACGTTGATGGCACGATGAAGAACAGTCGCCATGTTGACCAATTGACAACGGATCTGTTCTGATGGCATCGCCTGCAGGACTGGCCCATCTGGATGGTCCTCACGTTGTGCCTCACTCAGATCAACACCAAAGTGAATACAACGCTTTCCATGATCAATCCTAATCTGCATGTCGTTGTAGCGAACACAGTCGACTAAGAGACGCTCCAGGTGGAAGGCTGTAGTGAATTTAGCGAGTTCGATGAGTCGAGCGAATTGTATAGTCTGATAAACTTGGGACACTTGATGGACAAGACGAACGAGAGTGACATCCTGAAGCGCCGGGACGTATTGAGCAAGTGTACTGGTCTCGTCGACTTGGAGGGTTTGAATGACTGACTGAACGCGTGAGCACAGTTCCAACGGATGGAAGTCCACCTCCAGCCAGGAGTAGAGGTCCTGAAGTTGTGGTGACGCCAGGTTGACCACATTCAAGCGTACAATGTCTCTGAGGAGTGACGCTCGAGTTGGAGGCTGGCTAAGTCCAAGGAGAATGGCTAATTTCTGGGCTTTCTCCAGAGGAGATTTGTCAGTCTCGATGAAGCGATCGAATTCAGGATGAGCTGATGGCAGAGGAATTGAGAGCGTTGCTAAGAGAACTCTGTTAGCCATCCTCTGTTGCTCGTCAGGCGACATATTTTTCTTCATCTCTTTGGACAGCTGGAAGAGCTTGAAGAGTGCTGCTGCGTGGAAAAGATAGTTGCCAGCTTTCCAAAAGACCATTGCCAATTTCTGATAGTAATTGGCCATTGTTTTGGGGACTGGGAGCTTTTTGGAGAGATTCATCAGGCCGTGGATGTCCTCAGTGGCCTTGTAAGCCTCTTGCCACAGTTCCATTTGGATCGCTGAATCCAGTTGGATCAGACGAGTCTCGAGGTTGAGCTGTTGGGTCTCAGCTTTGTTCATGGAGACATTGGAAACCAGTTGGGGGAGCTTGCAGATTTCTTCCAAGTGTTTACGAAGCTTTTCGCAGAGTTTACGAAATTCAGTTTTACGGTTGTACTCGAGGCAGAATTGGAAGGCCATTCGAGCGATGTCGTGGTACAGGGTCTCCACATGGGCATTTGTTCTCAGCAATTCGAGGCACTGGCAGTAAGACTCCCAGAGGAATTTCACCCAGGGAGTCAAGATCGTTCGGTCACTTCGATCTTGAGCATCTTCTCCACTCACTGCTGACAGTAAAATACTCTCTGGGGTCGCTAGGTTGTCCAGGTCGTCGATGTCAACCACGGCCTGCTGACTCTGCTTCCTCGCAGCATTCGTCTTTTCCTCTGCCATACGCAGATATCCGCGAATTACATTCTCCAAACTACCGACGTTCACTGATTGAAACATGTTTCGGTATTGGAACAGACCCTCTTTGGCTATGTGGGATTTTTTCAGCTCCACGCACAGGTCCAAGTACTTGAACATTATCGGTTCCAGAACCGACTCTGACCAGCTGTACGTCCATTTCTTGTTTCGGAAGACTTCCTGAAGGGTATCGAGAGCTCTCGCTGGCTTACCAACCTCGATGAATTCTGGAAATACAACGATTCTATTTAGTTTCCGAATTCGTCAACTTGAAATCAATAGTCAAAGTTTATATTTTTCAAATTTAGTATTGAAGAGGACAAGCTATTACAGTTAATTTCACCTCGTCATCGGTTCTAAAATATGTAGAAATGCAAGAGAAATACAATGACAACTACGAATGACATTCCTCCAAAAATTTTGCTATGTCTTAGACAGCGAGATTTTTATGCAAAAACTAATGGTGAGGTGAACGCGACTGCGACCGTTTTGCCTTTTTTCTATTGCATTGATTATTTATTTTGGACTACAGGGCTCCGCCCCCTGCTCGCTCCGCTCACCCCGCCATCCGTGTGACCGAGCGGGTGTGACCGAATATGAAAATAGAAATTCATCGTTTCAATTGCCTTGAATTCAAGAGAAGAAATCCCAAAAGTAATCAGCATTTTTCTATCATATATATTTGAGAATATTGGGGGGAATTTTTTTAAAAGTTGTAGCTGAGAGTGCCCCCTATATGGAATCGAAATTCAGATGAAAAAAAAAAGCTGAACTTTGAAATTTTTTTGGGAATTCTGTACATGAAATTTCATTTCATGTACAGATGTGGTGGAATCGCTGGACATCCCCCCCTTATTTGTTCATTATATAGAGAGATATTGATGCTTCAAGAGTACAGAGAAAACAAATTTGTAGTTTCCAGAGGCAAGTCACTGATTTGAATAAGAAAATTCAAAAGAAAAACCCGAGGGGCTGGTCACTTTGGAAATCACTAGACTACTCGACTGGAAATCAAGGGAGAAATCACCAGAAATCACTAGAAATCGATTATTTCCCATTTCTGGCAGTGATTTCTAAGGAATGCTGGAAACGATCGGAAATCAGTATAAATCAGAAAGAAATCAGATAATTGTAGAAATAATTAAAAATCATCGATAACTCGAATCATGATATTTCGAGTGATTTTTTCGCATTCAGAAATCACCAGAATCTACTAGAAATAATGGGAATCCCGAAAAATCAAAAGACATTATGATTTCTAATTCTTATTGAGAAATCACTTAAGTCATTGAAGAAATCACGGGAAATCATCCCATTCTGGAAATCATTGAGCCAACCGATTGAGGAATGACCAGCCCCCTGGAAAAATCCCTAAAATTCGATTCCAAAAATTAACTCATTTCAAATGAAAAACGTTAAAAATCAAGAATCGTTGGATTCTCAAATCAAGAACCTTTACGTTCTTAAACTATGAACTTTCGAAAGCTATGTAAATTAATTTTAAACAAGAAAAAATCATCAATTCAAGAACAAGAATATTCTTCATCCAAGCACCTCAAGGTGCTTATTTAAGAAACCCAAAATTCTGAATTCTAGAAACGAGATTATCTATCCTCAGCTCGATAGTAAGCGAGCTATGAGCATTTCGCTCACGCAACGCTAGTCAACCTAAAGGTCCTCTCTGCACTGTGAGTGAGATACTAAAAAGAGCGCCCCTACTGACGGAGTAAGGATATTCACGTACTTTGACTATTTTTTCTCCAATGAAATGCTTTTCTACTTTTGTAGTCGAAAGTTAGAGCTTTCATTTAATCACCCCTTAACCCTCTAAGTTTCCGGACATATTACTCTGATTTTATTATTTCAACTTTGCAGTTCTGGCTTTGAATCTCGATATGGAACCGTCAGAAAACATTTTTAAAGTCTGAAAAAAATTATACTTTTGGAAGAAGATGCTGAAATAATTGAAGTTGCAATTTTTGAAAATTACGAGCATTTTTTATAAGTAATTTATAAACAATCAATTTTCCACCATAAAATTCATTTGTTTGGAATTGTAACAAATTTATTCATATCCAGAATTTTACGCGAAATCGATTTCATGCTAAAAAAATGAGGTTTCCAAAAGTTTAAACAATTTTAATTTTAATGATTTATTTATAAACAATGAATGTTAAAAAAAAACAATAATTCTGTGCAAAATAGAATTGTAATGACGCTATGTATAATTTTTTTCAAATTTTTCTCACGCAATTTAATTGACAATTTTGATGTTTGAAAATGGTTAAATCTATTGTGCGATCCGAACCAAATTGTAAAAAATACTTGGATATCTTTAAAATACGCCAAAATCTGGCTTATTTTCAGTGCAATTATACTGGATTTAAGTAAAAATTACTGGGATTGAAAACTTTCCTCAGATTTTTTGGAAAAATCTACTCAAAATAAATGGAAATTTCCCTTATTTCCAGAATTTTCGGCTTCCTAAATTTCGGCACAACAGAATTATGGAGAGCTGAAATTTTTACGAAAAACTATAAACTTTTTTTCTGTGTGAGAAAATGTGAAGAAACCGTTTTTGTAACTAGAAAATTAAAAAAAAATGTCTGTTGGAATTTTTTTCTGGAATCGCTCGTCTCAATAATTCAATCTTCAACAAGACCAGGAACGTTGTCCCGTTCTACATCTTACTCCATTATTTCACCCCACTGACCGAATAAGTCACTCCATGCACCTATATATCTGTACATATATATGAAGATATGGGTTATATAAACATATTTCATTAAATGAACCTCCATGTGCGAGCAAGAAAATCGCTATACGTACCTAATCAGTAAATGAAATGAGGATTAGTAAAATTTTGCTAAAGGGTTCGTGAAAAAATGAGAATTAGAATATTGGCGTTGTTGACTGACACGTTGACGTTCCATATTTTTTCAAACATAAAAATTATTGTTAAGAAAAAACATGAAAAAAAAATTTCAAAGAATCAAAGAACCTAATGATGATTGATATGTGAAAAAATCGCAGCATATATCCAGATGAATTGAATTTCTTCGTGCTAATGGTCCTATTCTAAAGTGGTGGAAAAGGGCAGATGTCACAGCGCATCGTCGCGAGCGAACGGTTAGGAATGCAATTGTTTTGCTGGGCTTTTCCCAAGACCATTGTAGATCATAAAACAATTCAAAGGAATTATCTAGCTCTCATCCACTCAATCGGAACACATGATGATAAAATGGGTCAGTGAATTTTGCCATCCTAAACGGCCATATTGCATTAGGGATGTGTTAAAAAATGAAGGGGAGCAGACATATCACTGTTGAAATAAAAGTGGACTCACCATTGGCCCGTTTCAGGGCGTTTTCGGGACGCTGCCCATATCTCGCCATTTTCATGAATTCTTTCCGGCTACTACACTTTGACACATGAAACAATGAAGCTGGAAGACTCCAATCACTTAACCGGTATCACTGAATATTAAAAAACGTGATTAACGTCGGAATGTCCTCGGGTGCACGAGCGACAATAACCGCGTGTACCGGATGAAAGGCGGTCACAAGGAAAAAATGGCTTCCCGTAATATGTGAGTCAAGTTGCATATGTATCGTGAAGAAAATGCAATTTTTATTGCTGCCAGTACCTATTCAAGAGGAAAAAAATTATATTGAATATTTTTTCACCTGCGAGGGACTAATTGTTCTTATTTTTTTACATTTTCATTTGGCAAAATTGTTTTTACTAGGGAAATGTTGTCCTACCGACGTTACCAGATGGACTGTAGCGCCTCGCGGGGTTCAGGTCACGACGCCCAAATGCGGAATATCGAGTGCACCAACTACTGAAACTCAATTCTCTAGAATACGGTAGTCGCTTGCAGGGTTGGGCATATCTCGCAGATGGAAGTTTATGACGTGACATTGTCAAATACCGGTAATTTACCTCTGGGGCGTCAAAAATGTCAAAAAGTGTCAGAAAGCTCTTTACAAGGAAGCTAAGCTAAAAAGTCACAAGGGTCAAAAGTGAGAGGAACATCGGCCGGAAATCGTCAAGATCAAACGATCACGAGGGTTATACGCCAGGCGGTACAATTAAAAGGTTCCAACGGTCATAAAGTTTAAACAAAAAAAGCAAGTAGGTTCACAAGGGTCAAACAGGTCACTAGGTCACGGCCTAGTTATCCTGATTGACCCTTATGATTTACCTACTTTGTGATTGTTTCTTGATCGTTTGTGATTTTCCTGCTTGCCTGCGTCTTAATTTTAACTCTT